GAAGATATTAAAACCCCTTCTAGAATCTTGGAGTGATGGGCATTGGAAAGAATATATTTGATAGGAACACTTGTATTTTTGTAACATACACTTTCTATCAACCAATCTTTTCCAAACTTTGAAGAATAATATTTTTCTCCAAATCCTTTTATTATTATGCCAACTTTATGTTACATGTGAATGCTTGATTCGAACCGAAATCGGCCCACAATTTTGAATATGACGGCTGGGAGCTCTTGGTTTTTTTTGTGCTCTGACGTATCGGTCCCCTTAATCTTTCATACAATCTATATGATGCAGACAAACCCTCCTTTCGGGAAGACATATATGACTCGTTCACAAGAGGGTGTCTCTGCAACATCTTTAGCCTGGAAAATAAGAAGGTTGACATTCTTACAGAATAAGTAAGAGGTCTAAGAGTGTCCCTTCAGCTTTAGCCTAGCAGGTAAAAAGTTGACATTCTTATGGAATGAGTAAGGGTATGAGAGTGTTCTTGCAGCTCTAGCCTCGTTGGTAGAAAGTTGACATTTTGATGGATGAGTGAAAGTCTCATAATGTCCTTACAGCTTTAGCCTAACAAATAAGAAGGTTGACATTATTACAAGAATAAGTTYCCCGCGATTTTAGTCTAACAGATTAAAAAGGTTGACATTCTTATAGAATGAGTGAGAAGTCCCTACCTGGCATTGCCAAGGGGGGTAGGCGACTTATTTTTCCATGATAGTTGTGAGTGGCTGCAAATGATGAGGTCATATACCCTTTTTGCAGCGTTTCCTCTATAGTTTTGAAGTTAGATGTCTTTTTAACATATTTTAAGCGTTACGCACCAAGTTGAAAGGTCTTRTGTTCTTCGAAAAAGAAATGATTTTTTACTTTACGTATTTTATTATGATCTAAGAATCATGTATTAAAATCGTAAAGATACACGCAACTTGTTGAACCGCATAATTATTGTGTTCTCTTATTCATTTCCTGTGATCAAGACTGTGTTCTAATGGCATCAAGAAACACAAAAGATTCTATKCCACTAGCATTTCTTTAAAAAGATTATGTCAACCTTCTTATGGTTTCCATGTTCCACGATTTCTGGAGCAGCAACACCATCAATATCATCATGATATATGAAACCTCTTTAAAAGAATCCTTATACAGAGATGGGAGGTTCCTACATATATACTTGTTTAACAGTTTCAAGAYTATGTTTCTTTTTTGCCCTATCACAAACTAAGGGTCGTCAATTCAACTGACAAATAAAGGATAGGCATTGACTCCTATTGGAGTCTCCTGAGGACCACAGGGTATTTTCCTGGCTGGTTTTTTAGAAACATATCCCCGGCTATGTCTAGACTAATCCCAAAAAATTGTGAAAATTGTGAAAATTGTGACTGTAAGACATCAGCTCTGACAAACTCAGTAGTCACAATTGTTGTGGACATCTAGAATTGAACCAGGGCAGATGAGATATTCCACCATATCCCCCCTGGCTGCTATTAGTCATGGTGCGTGCAAGCTAGTCTGGACATCAACGGATACCAAAAAAGGTACATGTTACCCTCTAGAACAGACCCACCACACAGGTTCCACAACAGGGGAAGAAAATCGTGGTGCCCTAGAGACAGGTGGATGAATACCCTGGTTTAGACCGAAGACCTCACTTATGACAAACTAATGGTGAGACGTGGCCGGTAATAACATCAGAAATTCTAAAGGTGCTTTGCTAGACATTTTCATCGTCTCATAAGATTCTTCGGTATTTTTCCGAGCAAGTTGATGGTGCATTCTTGGATTCTCGAGGCCAACCTTCATTTTTGTATGAGGGAATAGCATTTCTAACTGTTGTAATTGCTATGAATGTATTGACCGATAACTATTTCTCAATGGGCAGGTTCAAACGAGAGACATTAATACTTAAGAAACTGGAAACCAATAGAAGTAGTTGACAAGAATGCACGAAAATAACGATCATTGCTATGCTCGTATGATTCCAACAGCTTATACCAGTTTGTATTTTCATGTATGCAACTTTATAAAAAGGGGAATATGCATATCAGAAAAGATCAAAGCAAGTCTATTGAAGAAGCTAGCGTACCAGTAATTCCATGTTCTTGGGCGATCTTCTTTTCTAGGAGCTTTATGAAAAAGGGAATCTGTAAAAAATATAAACCATTAGAAAATCAGAGGCGGGCCTAGTAATTTTTCAACAGGTGGCACTATTTGACTATAACAACAAAGCTATGGATATTTTTAACAAAATCATCATTAGTCTGTTAGTTAGTTCCTTGTTTCTACTTTTTAGTATGCGAGGTCCTGTGTTCGAGTCTTTTATCGCAAAAAAATATCAGAAACATAATAAACTTGAAACTAAAAGCTAAAAACTAAAAAAATGATACAAATGAGATTTGAACCCACCTGGAACAGGAAAAAAGACTGTGCAAACCAACTCTACCAAGAGATTCTTGTGTTATTATTGTAGTTTCAAGGAATATATGGTTACACCCAACAAAATAATACAATCGCACCTTTCACGACCCATTTTTTTTTACACTATGATGGAGGAATGAAGCATTGGCCAGTGCCACTGTATGCACCATAGTGGGTCTGCCCCTGCTAAGAAAATCAATTAATTAGAGTGAATGAAAATGAAAGACTAGAGCATTCAATGCCTTTCTTTACTTAAAAGTGGAGCATATATCTTCTGACCTTTTTCTGGAAATGGAAGTTTTAGAATGTCAGAAGTTGAGTATATCAACTACATCTCAACCTGCACTTTTTTCTTTCTTATTTTCTAGAGTTCTTTTTGGTAATGAATGTTGATAATATTCTTATTGATTCTGCTTTCRGACTTCAGCATCACCAACTTTTATCAAGAAGAAGTGAAATGAGACTTCAGAGTTCAACATCTCTTTAAGAAACGAACAACACCTTAATAATTTATATAATCACATTCATCTGAACGATATCCACGTGTTTTCATCAAACACATGTTAAACAGATTAAATTAAGCTACATTCATAATCTAAAAACTAATGATAATCATAATAGCCTAAAAGACAATCTTCCTTACCCCCACTAGAAGCTTAATTAAGCTAATGAAAAGCTATGAGAGTACTAATAATACAGAACACAGTCTAGTTGAATAGATTACTATTGATCACGGTCTTGAGCCAACCTTATTCCTTCAGATGATTCGTACCCATTAAGCCAGAGTGGCGGTTTGTTTAAGACAGGGACTGATACGGCTTCAGCAGTGGAATGAGAGAGCCGCTTAGGTGGAGGGACATGACCTCATTGGTGGACCCCACAAGCTTGCCCCCTATGAAGACAGCTGGCACGGGGGGCGAGTTGCACCCTTGCTTCGGAAGAGCCTTCTCCATCTCCCTACCCTCGGGATCTTGGTCTATCTCATAAACTACGGGGTTCACCCTAAGTTCTTGGAACAGAATGGTGACAGCATAGCACAAGCAACAGGTACTCTTGGTGAATATGACAACTCCATTCTCGGATGTCAATGATTGTATCTTCTCCATCACAAAGGGTAGGGAAATTTGGGCTTCAAAAACCTCTCGGATCAAATCTAGATCAGAATGTGATCCGATGGTTGGGAGTTTTTCTTGAAGAGGGAGATGGGATTTGCTTGAAATTTGAGGTTTCCTGCTACTTCTATTTATATAAAACAGGCAAAGTTGGACTCCTTTTCTCCAAACAAGAAAATTCAAAAGATGATGTGCTTTACTTAGATGCTTGAAAACTACTAGAGGTATCTTTGAAAGATGGATACTCTTTTCGTGCACAAACGGGAACAAGTTGAACACATATATTCTTCCCGCATTTGCATAAATTCAGTCCTAAAGAAATCATAACCATCTGATTAATGATTCAAATCATGATTAAGTGACTTAATTAAGGTATTTTTTCAACGTGGGCAAGCTCAAGACCGTGGGTTAGAGTCCTCCATATTCTACGGGACTGAGTACTTAGTAGTACACCAAAAAGCTGAAAGTTCAAAAGGGCTGGTCAATATTGTTTCAAACAGATTCCTTCAATCAATTTATATATATTCTCAGGGTAAAAAGATTGGGAATGAGATTGCTTTCGGTGGGCTATGATTCTTTATATTGCGCCACCAACTTGTTTACGGTCTTTCAAAGATGCGAATCTTGTGAGCATAGAGTTTGTTCACATAGTTYCATACTCAGTGAGTCTAATGAAGTGCTAAGAACACACATTGAAAACAATCTTTCATTAGTTTTACTTTCCTAATTAAATTATTAACAKGAATTGCACATATCCATCTCAGGGAGGAACAGCTAGAAGCAAAGAAGTTGATATAGCAATATATGCATACAACATCAGTAATGTTGTTTATGGATGCATATATATAGACTAAGGTTCAGGGGAAAACCGTAAAAAATGAAAAACTGAGGAACACCCTAGTAACCTTTCATTTGTACGATATGCACATGTGTATACAAGTAAWTTTTCMGGTATGCATGCACATGCACACGWGCATAGAATCCTGGAAACTTCTTCAATTACTGTATGCACATGCGCATACCATACAGAYGAATGGTTATTAKGGTGTTCCTCAGTTTTTCATTTTTTTGCGGTTTTCYCCTTAACCTCCTTCTTCMCCCCTCTCTCTATATATACACACCATACACCATCTGCATCCATGATAGTGACCATCTAGACATCAAGAAATCCAAGCCATCAAGATCTAATAGAGAACATTTTTCTGGTTATGCTGTACAGCAACAAGTGTCCTGCATACAAGGTTCAAGAAGTTGATGAATTTCCAGTCAGCACTTAGGTTAAGAAATTTTGGGATTACCCTTTTTGCCCCTCCTTTTGGAAGGATTTTTTGTTGATRATGGCTTAGTTGTTTGTAGTAACATGTTAAGTCAAGCAGTTAGGCAACCTCTGCAAAAGTTTTCGTGTGCTATTTAAAATTTAACACTCTACAAGCCTAAGCATATTGCAATGATCAACAGGGACAAAAATGAGTCTATTCTCTCTCTCACACAGACACATATACACACAGATGTGGGCACACAAAAAGTATCTACCTATATATCAATCTTCAATATATAGATGCTAACAACTTTTAAAAGCAATTTCTCATATGTGCATCTTCCATCAACCTCGTAGAAAAGGTCCACAACGAACGATTAACAATAAATGTAAATCCTCAGTTTTATGTAAAATATAGAGAKATTATACAGCTGTGGCTAAACTCCAAATGCCCACAAAAAAACGAATTGACGACGTTCACAATACCAACTCAACAAGTACACGTTCTTTTTAACCATAAGGTCTAGAAACATCACTTCCATTAGTTGTGGTGGTGGAAGGGCAGAATTGTTCACTTGTCATGTCGGACAAGAGGGATAAATTCTCTGTAAMAAATGTCTGATCATCGTTTTTTAGTTCTTTATTCTGCTTGTGCTGTACAGTGGAATATTCTWAAAATTGTAGCCCCTATAACTCTTCTTTACACACGTGAATGGTGTGGTCATTCTATGATATTGAAGATTAATAACAGAAAGAACAAAACAACTATGAYGTTTTCATTTCCGCAAATCCAATTTTACGAAGTGGAACTGTTTTATATCAGTTCACAAAAGCTCRAACAAAGAAGATCAGCTCTTAGTAAGGTCATTCCAATCCTACCATGATGTTATAGCCACTATTCTTATCATGTYATAAATTAACATGATACATATGGTGTCCTATTTTCAGGATGTTTCTAGAGAGAACCATATAGCTCTTGCTCCCATGAGCATTGTTTCAAGATCCGTCAACATGAAAGACGAAGTGATGTCTTCAGCCAATCCTATATGTATGTATGTGTGTGTATATATATATATATATATATACACACATACCACCTGTGGAAACTGTTGGAGTGGCAGAGTTACAGCCTACTCATTTTAAGGCATACTCCAGAGACAGACCTAGAAATTTTTTCAAGTGGTGGCATCATTCGACTATAAGAAACAAATATAGGGATATTTTTTACAAAACCATCATTGGTCAGTTGGTTATTTCATTGTTTTTCACATGTGAGGTCCTGTGTTCAAGTCATTTACTGCAATTTTTTTTCAGAAACATAATAAATCTGAAATTAAAATCTAAAAACTAAGAAAATGATACTAATGRGATTTGAACTCGGGTCTGGGCTGGAAGAAGAGCCTTGGAAACCAACTCTACGAAAGGAAACTTGTGTCCTCGTTGTAGTTCCAAAATATATATGGTGGCACACAAGAAATTGATACGTGACACTTTTTACAACCCTATATTTTCTTACACCAACGGAGGAACGAAGAAGTGGCCTGTGCCACTACACGCACCACCTGGGGCTGTCCCTGGCATACTCCACTAAAGTTCATAGAGTAGTGCCTTGATACTAAGCACATGAAACATGAACTCTTGGTGAAGTTGACTGCACCTTTCTAGATGCCAAATCTGTTACCCTATTTCATTGGAAAACATCTAAAATACTGATAGATACTAGTTCATAACATATAGAGATATCAGTTACAATTTTGCTACAAGGCCTAGCCAGTCAATATGGGAAAAATATGATTGCAAGACTAGTAAGCTAATCATGGTTGACGAGTTTCATCACTTCTTAWATAGAGAATACCAGGTTCACCAATTGCATTGTTTAGGTGGTAAAGAGAAATAATTAAAAATATAGGCAATATAATTGTTCCTGGTTATGGGCTAAAAAATGGCTCTTTTGTGCTAAAAACAAGTTCCACATGGTATTTCTTCCCACCCATGATGAAATCTGCTTGTCAAGACCATATGAATGAACAATGACACGATGACAGAAAATGAGAAAAATGACGAAGGATCRTGTGAGAATAGGAGTTAAGGTGAAAAGTATAAGAAGGGATTCGAACCCTTGATCACTTTTAATTCCAAAACAACCCATGAATTGCCTTTTAGAAGGGAATTGATCTAGTGCATCTCATTCCTTTTGATCTAGTGGTTCTGTTCAATTAGGCTTGATCCAAGGGTGGAGATCCCTTCTTATCCTTCTCACCATAACTTTCAATCTCACTGCAACCCAACCCTAGAAAAATGGACTAATTGCTTCTTGTTCCTTGCATCAAAATGTAATCGTTTTAGGTTTTGGGTGGTCAGTAGGAAGGAGGGAAAAAACTCTCTAATTTAGTACAGAAGTAATTTGTTAAGACACAATCTTTCCAATAAGCAACAAATAAATCGCATAGGAGGTATTTGTATCAAGAGAACGAACTTATCCATACCTCTGCAGCCTAATTTCGACCCATGAGATCTTCTGTTCTTCATTCTCATTGCATATTTGATTGGATGTTTTTGTTGYTGATGCGTAAAAGATAAGAATTTATCCTATTCCTTTCCACTTTCTGCCACTGTCCCTTGTAAAGTTAACATAAACCATAAAAAATAAGTTTACAAGGTAATCAAGCTAAAAGAACTTCTACCAATAAATCATCTTGATCAGTCAACTTGCTGAAATATTTAATAACAATTTCATGGTATACTAATCTTCCAGCCATCACTTCTGGTAGRAGAGTATATTTAATTTGATCACTGATTCTTGTTAGAGTTAATTCCGGGAAATTTGGAGTTTATGGCTTAATATGAGCCTGTTAGCAAAGAAAAACAGCTACCATTAACATTGGAATATTTATTTCTGCAGTCACTATCCAGTAGAATCTCTTGTATATAAAAGTTATATTCATTATTCTGGATGATAATTACTGTTAAAGAATCACAGTAAAGTACTGAAGCTTTTTGTCACTTCATAAAGATATGTATGGGTATGGGCAACCATGATGGGCCAATGATTCTTCTGGATAACTCATGATCCAGTTAAACACGTATTCTCAAGTACTCGAGACTTCCGTCCTTTATCCATCTTTAGCTGACCTTTTTTTAATCTTCTGGATAACTCATGATTCAGTTAATGTAGATTGAATGTGTAATATTGCTACTCATACCATAAATGTTTTCATGTTCATGAATTTGARGTACACTAATAAGAACAAAATAATTCAAAACGATAGTAACCCAGGAGGAAAACTTGAAGACTAGAAAATACAAGGGAGATACTGATTGGTACTAATTGTAGGTATGCATGTATACATGTATATATAAGAGAAAGACATAGAGAACATAATCAGTATTTAATGTGGTATGATGTCTACACCAAAAGAAATGAACTTACGGTAGCTAATGTGAATATAAACTAATAAAGAACCAACTCTAAAGAAAGAAATTAAATGTTGAAGCACTCATTTACTGGCGATTTGGTGGGATTTGCCAATCTGTATGAGTTAAGATATATATATATATATATATATATAGAGAGAGAGAGAGAGAGGTTCAATGGAAAACCCGCAGAAAAATGAAAAACTGATGAACACCCTGGTAACTATTCATCTGGACGGTATGCACATATGCATACAAGTAACTGAAGTTGTTTCTTGGTTTTATGCACGTGTGCATGTTATGCAAATGTGCATACTGGACAAATTGCTTAGAACTAACTTGTATGTACACGTGCATACCGTCCARATGAACTATTACCAGCGTGTTCCTCACTTTTTCACTTTTTTGCAGTTTTCCCCTCAACCTAACCCTCTCTATATACACACTATATAATGAGAGAGAGASAGACAGAAACATGCATATAAATACCAAATTTCAGATAAATCCAAGCCATTGGTATATGATGAAACAAAATAAATTGGATGATATCTGTTATAGACACATTGCAAGAATTTAAYAAGTGCTTTCATTTTTTACCTAGCTACCAAGTGACTAGTACTACCACCAGTCTAAAGGGTTTGCTATATGGTCAGCTGCCTAATAAGTTCTAAGATACAACTTCAGAAATTAATTTACGTCTACCTTAACATGTATCCCATGGTAATTCTTGATGCAGTGTAGTTATCATATTGAATTTTTGCTACAGAATTACACCCCGCCAAAAAGAGTAATTAAGCCCTCTTGATCACAAAAAATGAYGCAATTAATTATTTAACTTCAGGAAAAATAGGATGATGGTCAGGTGARCAGAAAGTAAGATCTTCCTCTAAAGTTTAGGTCCCTTATTAAGACGTTTGGTTTGCTAATCCGTTAATAAAGATTCCCTTTTGATAGCAGTTGACACCTAAAATAAAATAAAACAAAATTTTAGTTAACCTTACATAATCTTTTCCTGAATTGACACAWTAGACCAAAACATGATGTGTGATGTTCAGATAGTAATGAGATAACAAGACAAAGTAAATGGAGTTACAGATTAATTGAACCTTAACCAAGCACCAGARGTCGTTCACTTGCAATGAAAATCCACACCACATTCTATGATGACGATGTCAACATGCAGGACGGAAAGAAATAGCTTAAGCTAGCTGGTTGGTAATTTAAGGGCTTGTTTGTTAGAAGCTTAATGAGCTTAAAGGGACTCACAGATTCTTTGGTCAGCTATACATGACTGTTTGGTAGTGGCTTAATGATATAGAAAGTGGCTTATTCAGTAAGCTTTTAGGGGGRGCTTTATGCAGAAAGCCAAGTTTTTCTAGACCTRCCCCTCCCAATTAAAAAACAAGCTCCTTCCATCTATGAAAAACCCTCCCAAACAAAATCCTTCTCAATCTATACAGACAGATTAATCCACACAGACAGCCTTATACATACARAACTTAAAGAAAAACCGACCAAACATCCCCTAAGTCTCATAAGTTTAAGTGTTTAACACAATACATATGTTCCAAGTGGAAGGACATGTTGGGGGAAAATGTACCTGAGGCAATAGATATATAGAAAAAAAAGGTGTATAACATTGGCTTCTTTTATATGGTTAAGCACAACACATTGTGTTTTATTCCTCAAATCAGAAATTATATTCCTAGGAAACCATTCCATCTAGTGCCCAAACATAAAACTAATGTAAAACCAAGTGCAAAATGATTCAGCAATATTCAGTTTATTTCGGCAAAAGAGATGCAGATTTTACAGAAATAACAGAAGAATAAGAAGCCAAAACAATTTGCAGTTACTAGATCATCTCGAGAAAGACCAAAGCAGTCTCTCCCATAGAAATAAATTTGCTTCATATAGCAAGTGATCAGATTCTCAACCGTTGTATTTGTCACTTCACTTCAAAACAATCATTTTACTCGTGAAACGCAAAAAGWGAAAGAAAAAACAAAACACCACCACCTAAATTTGCAATTTCATGCGCTTTCGACCACCAAACCTGTCAAGATGTTGCAAAAAACATTGTATAAGCAAGAAATTGCAAACTTTAGTGTCTTTTTGCATTTTCACAAGTAYRTTAGTTTTGGAACCAAAGACAAGTACGTTAGTTTTGGARCCAAAGACAAGTACATTAGTTTTGGAACCAAAGACAAGTACAATGATTGGAAACCTAATTCACTCTTCATATAACATAGTGCAYAGTAGTCAAACAGAGTTAACAATTATATATCTTTCATAAATGTGCCTTCTGATTTCTGAAGGTATATTGAAAAACAAATGCACCCAAATAAATTGAAGAGAAGGCATATCAATGTAAGTTTAGGCTCTCCAATAGGCACATGATGTGGTAGTCAAGCAATCGACATAAATGGCCCTTCACTTTGTTTTGGGCCAGTTATGCAATCTTCCCCTAGCCACATGGCAGACCATTATACTTCCTTTCTTAAAGCTGCAGTAAGATCACGGCATCTAATACTTAGACTCATACATACTAAAGTGTACAACACAATTTTTTCTTTACCACCAAAGACAAAGAAGACATGGGCAGAAAAAGAAGGGTGGGGGTGAACTTCCACTACATTCTATGAATTGGTGACCAAGAACATCCAAATCACAAAAACACGATAAAGATGTTTGTGTGTATGTATGCACATATCTATACACAAACATATCTACATATGTAATTATAGGGCTGGGTTCCCACGAGAAATGTCATTTTTCGTGAGAAGTGTGGGAAATGTAACCTTYACATACATATGTGTCAAGGTACCCTTATATTGTGTGAAGGTGAGTGAAARTGACCACCTTCACRCTGGTGAAGGTATGCATTCWGGTCCCGTCCACACAATTTAAGAGTACCTTCACCACTCCTCCCAAAAAACTATTTTTCACGTGATCCCAAGTCTATAATTATATATAGGGGACGCTTCATCTACAAACCATCTAATTCTAAGAAACCATAATCAATGCTTTTATTAGAAAACAGTAGAGATATTTATGGACAATTATCATGATTCATTAATTATGATTGAAATATGTATGGAARCTGATAAAGTTCATTCATTTTGATCATGGCTTTAGATTAGGAAACAATATGGAATCAGATATTTATTAGACTAGATGGACAGCTAAGATTGGTTTGTATGGTTTGTTAGAATCGGATGATTTGTAAATCAAATGTAGCCTAYATATATATATATATATAKAGAGAGAGAGAGAGAGAGAGAAAATAATCTAGTACCAGACATATAGAACCATCCCATGTGACCATCGATGGATTAATTTACACAGGGATCTTCAAAAGCTAAAGTTTTCCTATGTAGTACCCTTTTCTGGAATGCTAGTTCTTGGACGGCACAAATCCTATAACCAATATTAAGTTTTTGCTTCCTAACTTTAGAAGAAATAAATCCTGCCCAGGGAAGGGGGGGGTTCACAACTAAGATTGAAGGGCATGTGAAATTAACGAGGTGATCTCAGATTTGTATGATTTCCTTGTGTCTTCTGAGCCAATTGTCAAGATAAAATTTAAAGTAACCAAATTTGATGCCAAAACAAAGAGTCACTTGATGTGAAATAATATTCTGTGCACATTGTGTATATACTAATCAGGTGATCGACATAGATGACAATTCTTATTGGTGAGTGAAATAATAAAGTAAAGAATGTGTAGGCGCTTGCTGATATTCMGTAATTCTTATCATGCATTTGATATTTCCATGCATGATTTCCCTAGCATAGGCTTTTGTTCAAATGCATGCTTTTATCGTCATTCCGATGGCTATTCCAACCTATGTTTCCTATTTTTCTGTTGGGGTGGGGAGTAGAGATGGCTGCCAATTGGATAAACATCTTCCTTACCTAAGCAGATGCTCCAAGAATTCAATACCAGAAAGTTTGATGCTGTATGGTTGACAAATATGCATATGTTCACGCATGACATGTAATTACCAAACTACCCACCCACAARCAGTAGCACAGGAGAATTTTTTGGAGGATGCAACAAGGTTAAGAATGTCATTCAGATATGTACTTTCCTGTCATGCATATCAACCTACAGATAAGCAACCTGTTATATTAAATATAGTAATTCCCTATCATTTGTTGACTCTGATGAATGATGATCACTGAAATTCTTTCAAAGAAAAAGAATCTGATCTCCTTTCAGCGTCAAATAAGCACCACCACCCAACAATTTCAAGTCCAATCACTATATATAGCTGTGGCAAGAGCTTAAGTTACCCACAACAAAAAAATTCCATCACACCGAACTTTTTACAYATAGCCTCTATCTATCTCACTCAWAACAATATCTTCCACTAAATCAAGCATTTTTTAGAAAACATAACTGCTACAATTTCCAGAGATGGCTATGGTTACAGCATTGGTGAGCGAAAGGCCTGTGGTTATATTCAGTAAAAGCTCTTGCTGCATGTGCTACACCATTAAGACACTGATCAGCAGTTTTGGGGCAAATCCAACAGTTTATGAGCTGGATGAGCACCCAGAAGGGAAGCAAATAGAGAAGGAACTCAGAGGATTAGGGTGCAAGCCAAGTATACCAGTTGTGTTCATAGGTGAAGGGCTGATCGGTGGTGCCAACGAAATAATGAGCCTTCATCTGAAGGGTCAGCTGGTACCGTTGCTCCTCAAGGCTAATGCTATATGGGTCTAGTATTTGGTTACAATATTATAGAGGATGGAACTAAGTTTAACACAACTACGTATAGCAGTTTGATGCATTTTAGTCATAAGAGCAGGCACGACAATAGTTGCTTCAGCCTTCTTTTATGCTGTGCAAGTCCAACGATAACTTATGTGCTAACTTCTGAATGTAATTTCACTGGTTATTGAGAAACAATGAGAGATACTACCTTTTCCAAGAGTTACTTTTGTTCCTTGTCTTAGATTTAATGTAAAAGTGCGCTAATATGCTATTTAACTTCTACCGTGTTGTAGTACCAATCTAAATGCTTGGTCCACTATAAAGCTTTACTATATTCTGGTTGCTTATCAAAGTTATGAGGATAAYTGCAACCAGAAACAAATGAAATACAAGGGATAATGTAAGATTTCAAAATTTTCCTTCCCTCCATTGGAGGAACTTATACTTTCAAGCCTCTCTTGGTCGTTGATCATTGATGTTGTTACTTTGATAAACTATATGATACAAGATTACACAGATAACTTCAAAGTATACCTATTACATCATCATAATAGTTTGCATTAGCCCGGAGTTCCAACCGCAATTTATATATATAGATAGATAGATATATTGGAAGGGTGTCGCAGGCTATGCCTAGGCTAATCCTGGGAAATTGTGACTATAAGACATCCCTGAGAAACTCAGTGGCCCCAATTGTTGTGGACGCCTGTAATTGAACCCAGGGTGATGAGATATTCCACCACATCCCCGTGGRCCTCTACCACAACCCTTGTGGTTAATCGCAATTTATATTAACGAATGGTTATATTACAATTTGTGCTTGGGTTCCTTAATTGATCATGTACTGGAGATAATCTCTACCAATAATATAAGAATACCATAATTCACCGGTTAAGTCTGTARGAACTCTGTATTTTAACTTGTGTATAGTAATGAGTCACTACCATAAAGCAAGATAACATAGGGATAAAAATCGATGCGATTTTATTAAATGCATAAACACAACAGCATACAATCAAGATGCTGATTTAACACCATGATAAGGAATGGAGATATTTCCATGGATTTCCATGCTTTATTACTGATCTTGGTTCTTGATCCAAGATGAACTAAGATCGTTAAGTGAAAAGAGCAAGTAGAGGTTTTTAATGAAGAAAAACCCCTAAAAATATAATGAACCTGTTTTACGTAACTATGCTATGCATGCTAAATTTGATCTTTGAAGCCGCTTTTTCTTAGAAAACTTCCATTTTATCTCACCCAAACCCATATAAAGCATAAAATCTGAAATATAAAACTTTGCATCAATTATCCTTTGTCTTTTCTTTTCTCCAAATGGGGAATAGCAAGCCTACCAATCTGCAAAATCAAAAAAGATCTGTGATGCCAGGACTCGACTGTCTTATGCGTATCCACACATAGAAACCCCACTYTTTTAATTAGAAAACAGAAATGAAAATTGAAATTATATCTACAGTTCTATGCCAAAGCCATGATCATAAGGTTAAAAAAGTTAAACAATATTGAACAAGCTAACGTGCGAACTAAAACGAGGGAAAATTGAATGCAAGCTGAAAATTTTGAAAATGGAAAAAAATAATTCAATAGATCATTTAACGTTCTTAGCTTTTGGTTTTAGTTCTTTTGCTATGTGAAAGAAAAAGTATTGATATTTAGGTTTACTGATAGGCATTTAGATAAGTTAGTGAACCTATAGAAGTGGCCCTTAGTTTCTTCTTTAGCCAGTTATACAAATTGATTCCTCAAGTTCATATAGCATGCCATCTTTTTGGCTTTTGAGTTGCATGTATGTGGCCATATCTAGACCAGAAAATAAAATATTTTAGATACCCTATTGTACGGTTTCATATGTTCCATCGCTATCATCAGATAAGAAAGATGAGGGGATATATCCATGAAGTTCATGTATCTGGAGCAAGATAGACCTCGAATTCTTTAGAAGAATCTAACTTCTAAAAAGGAATACAATATGTCTTCATCCCTAGCTTAGTTGGAGGCCCTACAMCAGTAACTCCTACCTATACTCGGTTGGAGCCACTGTCCTTGCAAGAACAAAAGCAAAACTCAAAGCCTTTGACTTGACATGTTACCAGTGCATGGCCCAGCATGAAACTTCCCATGAGTAACAGCTTTTAAACATATCCATGTGGGGTTTTTTCTACTTCTATAGACACCATCTGAAAGTTTTCTATTTTATATGCTCTATCATSTTTCGATACACAGCTTGCATCTCAAAATATTTACTTTCCTAGACATTCATTTTTATTGAATGAAGCTGGAGATAAATTTWTCTTGCTTACCTTTTTATCAGGCTTGAAACCTATCAAGTAATCTATTATTTGACTATGACAAGTCCAAAATAACTCGACTTACAGATGCTTACACAGCTAAACCCAAGTTTGTATCTCGTTCACATGGGTATGACATAACAGATAACTTGCTTTAGAGATGCATGTTTAAGACAAGCGATAGGTGCCACCAGCTCATAGCTACTTAACAAAAGATTTAATAAATCTAACGGTTGAGGGAAGTCAACAGAACCATGGTAGAAATATGTCCTCTTTAAAGTAGTTTCATAAGCTTCGGTTTGTTTAATAAACAGTGAGCCTCATGGTGCTTTAAGTGGTTTCTTGGATGAGAGTTAGTGGATGCGACATTCACTAACCATGTGATTCCAAGAACCAAGGATTAATTCCTTAAGGATAATCTGATAGCACACGTGGTTAAATTCTAGAAGGGGAAAAAGAGAGATTTAGTATCCTCTTCCCTCCGTGTACGGACTCTATGTGCTTTAAAATCTTAAAYAAGCATCGAATAATTTCAAATTTCCCACTTCCCTTTGTCACTAAACTTTCTATCTTGGGTAACATAGATATATTMTCCCTTCTCCGATTATTAGCGTTGTTTTCAAAATGCACCAATTACAAGTGCAGCCTACAAAGTGCGCCACGTCATTAGTTTTATGWGTGATCCAGTCAGTATCAGATAAGGTATCTTTCAAGAATAACATTCCACTCGTTTCATATTTTCCTATCCAATTTCAATCTARTACTCTCAAGCCTTTATATTAGTCCAAATGGGAGTTCCCATTTCCTCAAAGCAGGATCTTCGTTCCCATAACAAGCTTATTTCACTATATAACACTCTCTAGTATCTCCCCTTTCTGACAATAGCCTTCKTCCTTTTCTTTCATCCTTATATATCTTATTAGAAGTTTGAGAAATAAACTAATGGCCTTGGTTACCAACTTAGGTGCTGAAAAGCCAGTGGTGATACTCAGCAAAATCTCTTGCAGCATGTGCAATACTGTYAAGACTCTGATAAGCAGTTTCAGGGCGAATCCTACAGTATACGAGATAGATGAACACCCAAATGGGAGAYAAATGGATTTAGGTTGTAGGCCAAGTCTACCAGCTGTGTTCATAGGTAATGAACTGTTGGTGGCCCTAATAAAATCTTGAGCCTCTAACTTAAGGGCAAGCTGGTGGACTTGCTTAAAAAGGCTAATGCCATATGGGTTTAAGATGAAAAAAACACAGTCAATGTTTCTTTTATGCAACAAAACTATTATAGTTGAGTAATATGAGCCTTTTGGAATATGTAATATCATGAGAACTCTTATCACATTCTCCTGTAGTTACATGTATAATATCAAACAAATAACTACTATAAAACATCGAACTAATGGCTGGCCTCATTCCRTTGTCAAGGATTGTAAGAATATCCAACTCATGACCTTTAAAAATGTTTCATTTACTCTTGTATGCAAATTAAAGATGCACAGATAATTGCAGAAAATTACTGCTAACGTTGTAGGAAATATAGTACAGAAAAGATAAACATGTTGCATTAAACCAGACCATTCACAAAGCAGGTAASACATATTTCTACCAGAATTGACTTTCTAAAACTTGGTCAATATTAACTATCTTCCAAAGAAAGTGACTCTAAGCACCTAAAAGTTGAAGGACACAATAATATGAAGTTACTTGTGTATTAAGAACCACAAATATGACGGAAACTGGGGATGAAAATAAACTGCATTTACCATGTTCGGTTTAGAAAACAGTTTTTCAAATAACAATTTCAAGGAATATATTCATCCTCAATATCTGCTTCTATAGTTTTTATGTGCATTTGATCATCATGTGTGTAAATAACAGTTTTCCTGTTCCACCAAAGGTGCACTTCAGGCATCATACACAGAAGATACTGTCTTTAACAGATATATGTTTTAACTTTTAACAGATATGAATAAGGCTTCTATTCGACAAAGTAATGTGAACATGAGTAATTTATAGCTTGGCAATCTATGTTAAAAAATAACGTGAGACCACAACAACAATAATACAATTTAAGAAGACAAAGAACACTAAAATAATATGCACCCTTTGGATCCAAGTCAAGCTGGAATAGCGAAAAAGGTAGGTAAAGCTCTTGACATTAGAGGAAGTCAACAGAAGTTTGCAAAGCACTCCAGATTTATGTCACATTAATCTAGTTCCATAGTGATGCATATATAGCATTCTGAGTTCTCTATTTTTTGGACCAATCTACCTAGAAGTTTATGCTACATAACCACTTTGGAGATTTCTTAAATAGAAMTAAACTTCTGGCATCCTCCTGCATGAAATGCTGGCTTTGTAAATCCGATCGTGTTTAAAAAAATTCTCTACATTGTGGGATCTGGTTTAACGTAGGCAGCATATAGACCTGATTTCACAGGCATAGTTTGTAATCTGTGTAAAAAGAGCTTAAATTCCCTCCAAAGGTCAGCCTTAATCACTAACTTAATCTAAATGCTTCTAGTCCAGGCCAAATAGATAACCGGCCATCTGATGCCTAAACAGCAAGAACTAATATATCTGTATATATTCCTTGAAATCCTCAAATAAGCATCAAACGCATGCCAAAGATTTCCATCTATCTACCWCAATATATTAGCTTTCTGCTTATTAAGCTAAAAGCTAGGAATATTAATATGGGGAACAAAAAGCTAAATGAGTGAATAAATTTAGCTTCTTTCTCCACTTCTATGATGCCTGTGAAAAGGTATCATMACTAGTGAAAATATTGAGACATCATTATGAATATTTAACATATCAAGATTTTTGTACGGGAAAAGAAAATTAACTTTATTACGGAGTCTTCTCAACTAGGCACACGTTGAGGAGAAAAAAGACACCAAAACAAGACATTCAGAAAAAATTGTTTCATGTGGCTGGTTGGGAGCTCATAACTCCAAACCACACCAAGTTATTGTGCATGTGTTAATACTGCCTTTATTCACAGTATAAACAGTTTGGTGAGAATATTATATTTTCACTAAGGGGMTGTTTGGTTGGTTTTCCATTAAGTCCTGTATGGATAAAGCTCTCYGTGTGRRTTATTCTGCCTGTATAGAGTGGGAAGATTTTTATTTGGGAGGGTTTTTTCATAGATGGAAGGACCATGTGTTTTAATTGGGAGGGGCAGGTTTGCAAAAACTTGGCTTTCTGCATAAAGCTCCCCCTAGATCTTACTGAATAAGCCACTTGCTATATTATTAAGCCACTACCAAACAATCATGTATAGCTGACCGAATAAGCCGTGGGTCTCATTAAGCTCATTAAGCAGCTAACGAACAGGCCCTAAWTAAGATATGTGTGAGTCCTAAGGCCAGAAACATGAACAGAGTTCAGGAAATAAGTTATATATGAGAAATCTGCAAAGCCTCCATCCATGATTGAGATGCTTAAAACTTTTATCTTATTCTCGCTCGAGTACCAAAACATATTCTTTCRAATTTTCGCATATTTGTAAAAATTAATGCACCAATTACACATGCACCCGACTAGGTGGCCCATGACAACGACTGTATTCATAATCTCGAAACAGTCGGTATCTTTTGTAAGAATAATCCCTCTTTCATATCTTCCACCAAAATCAATGAAGCACCCTCAAGCCTCTATATATAGTCTGAATTTAAGTTACAAGTTTCATTAAGCAGGGCTGAAGTTCACATAGCAAGTACTTTCGTGTGTATATATATATATATATAGCTCAATCATATCCGCCAATCCCTTCTGAAAACCTCTTATTTCAATCGTTTTCATAATTCTTATTATCTCAGTCATATTCTTTRGAGAATGGCCATGGTTACAAGGTTGGGTGCTGAAAAGCCAGTGGTAATTTTTAGCAAAAGTTCTTGCTGCATGTCCCACTCAATTAAGACTCTGATTTACAGCTTTGGTGCTAATCCCACAGTTTACGAGCTAGATGAACATCCTAACGGGCAGCAATTGGAGAGAGAGTTGAARGCACTAGGACGTAAGCCAAGTGTACCAGCCATATTTATAGGGCAAGAGCTGATTGGTGGTCCAAATGAGATCATGACACTCCATCTCAAGGGTAAACTAGTCAAGCTGCTCAAGAAGGCCAATGCCATATGGGTTTAACTTTTATAATAATAACGAATAGAATGACGTAACAGTGTCTTGTTTTTAGGTAAAAGAACTGTTATGCTTCAGTAGTTTCTGTTAGCCTTMTGGCAAACGTTTACAATTTATATACTATGTGGTGTCAATCATGATATGTGATCCTATTTTACAAGATTGGTATTAATTGTGCATATCTTCAGTTAAAAGAACACTCTGAGATGATCTACATCATAATAACAGGTTCAAGCCATGGACCAGCAGATTGTCAAGTAGAATTGGGGACCAATTACCATCCTCATCCAACCTTTTCCACAATTGAAGCTTTTTCTAAGGGTGATCCATTTTCATCCAATGCAGTCTGCTGGTGTACAAATTTGCACATTCTTTCGGATAAAATACAGGAAAAGCATACTCTTACTAGTACATATAATTGATATTATCCAATACCCATTGTCAATCTTACCACAAACAATGAGCAAATTTCAAAAAGCTGCCATATAAATCCATGAACCATTGTGACATCTACTCTACTCAACTAACAGCAGGTAGACATATATGCACCTCAGACAAGGATAAAGAATATAGAATATGATCCTAAGTGAGTAAAAAACAAAACACCAACATAGATAAAGATGCCCATCTCACTAGAATGTAAAATAAGTCATAAATACTATTTTAAGACACAAAATACTTTGTGTCAGCTGTAATTTGCGTCTAGATGAATCAAGTGACATGTTTTTAAGGTGCAATAGACTCTGCCATTATAGTCTAAAAAATATTCCAACCCAAAAACTTATTTCCCACATATTATAAAAGACAATATGTTGTGGTAAAAGAAAGTGAAGATGGAAACAAGCTATAAAGAGTTGCAGAAAGATGCCACTTGAAAGATCAGCTGAGTAATGTCTTGGGAYGCTAGTATTAAACCATGCCTAGTAATACTAGTCTGCAGCTGTCAACATTTCTCAATCTTTCTATCATATTTTGGTAGTCGTTTGTTTGTTAATCCACTTGCAAATATATAAGAAAACTACTGTGATTTTTTCCAGCAAAAGTTCATCAGTTTGATTCGTCTGACATGTGATCTCAATCAAACACCAATATACTTGTTTGAACTTTGAAAAGTAATTAACTCTTTATTACTAGTCCCAGTTGTAGAAAAAGCAACAAGTTCCATCTCAAAAACATTTGGTAACAACCCAATGTYATGCATAATGTCACGTTGTTGTTTTTTGCATATGTGGGATAGCTAGCATCAACACCAGTTAACTTTTTATAGAAACATGMGCTACTGAGTACTGACTGCATAAAATGACATCAAAATTTACATTCATGGCACATTGACTATGACATTTCAAGCTTATGATACTCTTTTTCAACATTTTTATTGGTTTCCTCTGTAGTCTCGGTTGCATGAGCTTTTAAACACGTCCTTTTACCTAAATTTGAGGACACTAACCAAACAAGCACTACAGTGCACATCTCGTTGCTGAGTCTTAGGGGATGTTTGGTTGGTTTTCCATGAAATCCTATGTAGTTAAAGTTGTATGCGTGGATTAGTCTGTCTGTATAGATTGCAAAAGTTTTTGTTTGGGAATGTTTTTTCATAGATGGAAGGAASGTGTTTTTTAATTGGAAGGACAGGTGTGGAAAAAACTTGGTTTTCTGCATAMAGCTYCCYCTAGAAGCTTTACTTATAAGCCAATTTCTRTATCATTAAGCCACTACCAAACAATCATTTATARTTGACCGAATAAGTTGTGAGTCCYATTAAGCTAATTAAGCTGCTAACAAACAGGCTCTTAGCCATATCCTTGTCAAAAACATTCAAACAATTTTGCAATTTAATATATAATGGTTAACAGCAACAGCAAGCATTCCATCAAAGCTTAAGTTTACAAATGATTGACAACATCAAGAAAGTTAGAGCTGAAAAGAGGACAAAAGGAACATAAGACTATAAAACAGATGATGTGTTSTGTGATAATAATATATGTAGCAACATGAGAGAAAAAGGGTGAGTTATTGCACTAATTTCAAGTCCATGAATCCATTGGATCCACCCAGAAAGCCTTCACAGAAAAACTTGTTTTCTGAACACACCACTAAAATAAAAATAGAAAAAGAGAAGGACTGACAAAGGTATGATGTCCCACCATTAAACACCATGAATAAACGAATAAAGACATAAGATTCATCAATGCTAACAAAAGTAATCTACAAATGACAATGAATGATGGGGTGTATAGAATTTTTCTGGGCATCAGAATAATTTGTGAAATGAGTATCAAGTAATATGTCTTAGAGATCAAATTATTGTATTCCTTTACCAATTAGAGGTCTCTCATTCTCAAAGTAGCAATGAGCAGAAAACTGATGCTCTATGATTCGCAGTGGTCCAGATTGAAGTAGCTTGACCACGGTCCCCATCTCCACAACTCCACTTCGAGCTTCCTATTAAAATATAGRTGGTGGACAAAGTTGTAATACACAATAACACGGTTCCAAATTCAGAAGTTTCACTCGTTTTGGTTCCGAACACTGCGAAGAACTAAACATAGGCGGTTTTCCTTTTCCTTTTCCTTTTCCTTTTAAAAAAGAGTAAATTACATTTTTTTTATCCTTGTGGTTTGCTACAACTTACTATTTTTCTCCTTATACTTTTGAAATTATAATTTTTCATCCCTATATTTTATAATTTATTGTTATTTGTGGGTTTTTTTATTTACAATCTATTGTTATTTTCTTTCTTGTGTGGTTTATAGTTTATGTCTTTTTCCATCCCATACTTAAAGCCAAGGTAGGAGTTGAGAACTCAAAAACGAAAACAACAATAAATTGTAAACCACATGTATAAAAACCGTAATTTCTAAGCCATAAAAACGAAAATGTACCGTTTTTAACAAATCATAACGATGAACAAACGTAATTTTATGGACCGTTTGTTAAACGTTTACCCGGTACGGTAACTGCTTAACTGTCACTTTATTTTATTGAATAAACATTATAAGAATTGAAAATCTTACCCGATAAATTAAATTGTTACATACGATATTGTTTTAATATATTAAAATCGTACCCGTAAAATTATGGATAAATGGTTACCTGTACTTTTTCAATATGGCAAGTCAACCATAGTTGACCCATGAGTCTCGACCGCCACTGCCACTGGTATCATTTCAAGTTATTCTAAAACAAAGTCCTTTTTTATATATCATYTTTGACACAAGAAAACCTCACAATTAAACAAGAATCGCTATTTGCTACAACTATACACACTCTTTCGTATTCACAATCACACGGGACGAAAATTTAAACCGGTTGAAAAAACCCCGCTCACGCAATGGAATTACGCCTTCGTTTTTGAAACAAAAAACGGCTTTCGGAACTCGGCCTGCTTCCGATCCCCCTAACATCTTTAAACTTGAACAACGTATTCAGTTTCCCCAATTTCTTCGTCAACGACCTAAACAACTTATTTGCGGGATGTGATTTTACGAGTTCTTGTTTCATCGAAACGTGATCTTTTTCTAGATCCGTAAGCCTCATTCTCATTCGGGTTACTTCTAATTTTAGTTCCCTATTTTCTCTCCTAACGGATGCGTAATTGTCCCTAGGAGAGATACACCCGCTTCCTGCACCGCTGCTAGAGCGTTGCGGGAACTGGGTGTTCAACGATCCGAAAAAGAGGTGATTGTGGCCTCCGTTCATTGCGTTTCGAAGCCTGATTTGCTCAAAATAGAGCACCTGAACCGCCATTTGGACCGGGAGACGTTCGTTTTGAGCCGCGTGGCTACACGCTTCTTGACTCAGTTTCTGGCAGTCGATTGTTTTGCAGAGCCGGTAACGCTCCGAGTCCTTTAGATTCGGGTGAACCTGTCATTTAACCGCAAATTGTATCATATCGTAAAGAAACCAGACGCATTGCTGCGTTGCATCTGAGTATCATAGTATAAGAAATTCAAATGCATTGTTGTGTGGAAACTGCACTATAAATGGTAGTTTCCACGACAACAATGCATCTGAGTATCATATCATAAAGAAACCAGACGCAGCATTGTTGTGTGGGAGTTGCACCAATAAATGGCAGCTTCCAAGCAACAGTGCATCCGAGTATCATTTCTTGATACCGTTTACGTAAAAACACATTGTTCACCTTCAGAAAGATGTCCACGGCTCGATATAATCCATCATTGACCAATCTAGCATGATCCGGGAGCAATTCCGCAAGTGCGATGAACTTTGATGACGGCAAATTGGAATCGATAGCGATTTCCGCAAGAAAACAGTCAAGTAGCTTCGAAACTTTCAGGATCGAGCTTTGTTTCGGGGACGAAGGTGTGTCGAAATCATACACCATTTCGCTTTCATCMCGCATCAGATTATCATCGTCGTCATCTTCATCCAAATTCAAGAAGATCGAGAAGATCCTGAATATCGAATCAGTGTCATACAACTGACTATGAGTGTTACCATTAGAATTTGCCGGGATGAGTATGTCTTCGAGTATCGCTTGGTCCAATTGCAGCCCGATTCGTCTCTCAAGATCCGACCTACAAGCGGTAGATATCGACGCCATAATCGAAGACTTCAATAAGCTCGAAAGAAACGCCATCGGAACGGTGCTTTTTCGAGATTGCGTCGGTAATAAACCAACAATCACTTCGACGATCACTCGGTGCTTCTTCTGCGATTCGAGATCGGAGAAACTCCCTTTTACGAGCTGTGGATCTCGTAGGAACAATCCCTGAAGAGAATTATGTGCGTAATTCATCAAGATTCTGGCGATCATATCCTGTTTTAAACCCTTCGTTTTCACCGCCGTCAASACCCGCTTGAAGAACTCGAGGCTCAAAACCGTCAATGATTTCCCCCACCAATTCTCCGATTCCGATTGCAAAACCGGTTTCGAAGGATAATTACTCTCTAATTTCGACAACCCACAAGTTAATTGCTCTTTACAAGCGTTGTTAGCGATGGCCGTAATGATCCTAGTCACCAAATTGATCTCTTCCGATACAGGAAGGAGGCTTTCGCAATGGTGAAGAACTGAGATCGAATTCGTTATGTTCTGAAGAACCGTTTCTTTCAAGAACGTTTCCGTTCGCATTTCAAGATTTTTATCGGAAAATTCATCAGTCATTTCTAGAAAATGTGAAGTGCATCGGAGCTTGGCGACGTTCGTTAGATTGATCTCGACGTTGACACCGTAGCAAAACTTTGCAGCGAGCTCGAACGCCTCCGATCCTCCGGGTACGTTGTGAAGATTTAGGCGTAAAACCTTCGAGTCTTTAGCTTCCATCAGCATCTTTCGTATTCTTCCACTCTTAGAAACTAGAGGAAACTGCGGAGAAATTGAATTTTAAGATCAAACAGATGACCTAAACCCTAAACCCTGAACTAGATCATGGTACAACCAGATGATCTAAATCACGATAAATGCGTACCTTATGAAGTGCAAAACTTGCGGCCCCTACATCGATCGTGAGATCGCTAGAAACATCGGAAATCGGCCTGTTATAAAAGAGATCCATCACTTTCTTCAATCTCTTATAATATATCAAAAGATTTCACAACAATTGGTGCTTCCAGTATCAATAGTTTCAGAGAAAAACATGTGAGAACGGCCATGAATGATGAAATATAAAACGGATATGAAGCAGGAAACATGAACAAAAGTGGGATTCGTACAAGGGTTTTAGAAAAGGGGCCACAAAGTTGAAAATTAGGGTTCATAATTGAAGAAATTGGGGGAGAAAAAGCATGTGTTCTTTTTGTTTTCTTCTATGACCTAACTCGAATAAATTTTCTGTCATTTTCAACCATCTGAGGGGCCTTTTTTTGATTGAAAATTTTCATGGGAAGTCGTCAAAATTTGATAATTGAGTGTTAATCTTAAAATCCATGGCCACACAAGTTTTRATGTGTCATAAATGCTTCAAATCRGAGCTTAAATCCATCGAGTTWTCGAGTGGAATTCTCGAATATCTAATATTTCATCACAGGTAAATCGATCAAAATAGCTAATCCATCAACCAAATTCAATTTTTAACCATTTTTCATAACCTCTTCTCAAAAACAGCCAAAGTTTACACAGAAATTTGATTTTTCTGCTTAAGGATTCAAATCAAATTTTCTACATAAACTTGAGCTAAAATGGAGCAATTCTTTGAAAATTTWACCCCATTTGAGCTAATCATGACCATGAACGCCATTGAAGACGAAAGTTGAGCTTTTATGGAAGAAATTAACCAGACAAAAAAACAAAACCTCAAATCGACAATGGTCGACCCCAGGTGGTGGAAATAATGCTGAATTACTTACCAATCGGTAACATGGCGGGCACTGGAACTGGGTCGAAACGATCGTTTTCCAGAGATGCTTGGCTTTAATTCACTCATAGTAACAACACCCATGAATGGTATATCTGTAATGGATTCCTTCAAGAAGACRGTTTTAGGGGTTTGATTTCTTCAAGTGAGTTGAGGCATGAATGCATGCAAGATTAAAGGGGAGCGATAATTATGCTTTAATCGAGTGGTTTTTCGATTTGATTAATATAAAGTCAAAAATGTAGAGACAACCMTGTTCTTTACTTTTCGGTGCCTTTTTCCCACCCCTACCCTGTGTTTTTCTTTTGAATTCATATGTTTGTGCTATGAAAATTCGTTGAGTTATCTGATACTTGATTAAATTAGTTTTTTTTTTTTTTATAAATTAGCCAACTGGCAAATTTGATAATTTTATTTAATGTTAGGATAAAATCCGTCTTCAAATAAATGTCTATATTCCTATTTCAGTTCTTCTTCTCAAATTAAGTGTCCATTTCTAAAAAATAGGTGCATCTTTTCTGGACAGTGGACATTGTTAATTATAGGGAGTAGATATGGAAAAAACAATTACTCTTTGGGTAAAACAATCATTTATTTCCTTAAAAATKTAGTAATTATATTTTTCTAAAACTGTATATTTCTTTCATTTTGAACACTTGTTTTATGATGATTGAATATAATTATGAATGGTTAGAACTTCCAATACAAAACGCTAACAAATATGTGTAATTCCAATGATTTACCGGTAATGCTTTGTGTTCCAACATTAATAATCACTAAAACTCAAATTTAAGTTTCGATATGTTACTGTGTTCTCTCGGTTTTTCAACAACAATACACAGCAGTAGCACAAAACCATGGTAAAACTTTCAGGCTTGTAATTGGAAAATTATGGAAAAAGATCTTTTAATTTTGTTGAGACTACGGGGYYGTTTATCAAACAYTTACCCAGTAAGTGCTTAYGGGTAAAATTTAAYAYTATTATTTACTTACTCGATAAGATTTTAGTCCAYCAAAACGAYATCGTGTGCAACAATTTACCCGGTAAGCGCTTACCGTGGTAAGAGTCGTTGCCCTCACTTACCGGGTAAGACTCATGGTCCTTGTCTCGYTATTACCGGGTAAGATTATTGGTACTTACCATCTTCACCCGGTGAGRTAATGYGACTTGGTAAGCSCTTACCCAGGTAAGTGTTTTGTAAACGACCCCTACACTAAGTAATTTAAAAACAAATATTGTAACCGTTAAATAAAAATTAATTTTTTAATAAGCTTAGAAATATAATGTAATTGGCAAACATAAGACTTAATCATTTCATAACTCCATAATTTAAAAGATCCGTRAGAACTTGTATCTTAAGGTTTTGTTTCACATTACATTTTTCCACTTTAAGTATCATATTTAATTTTTTATTAACATATATTTGTCTCATGATTTGTTCGTTTCATATGTATTCTGTTTATAATATTAAACTTTTTATATGTATTTTTTATTTCATAAACATATAAAAAAATTCATAATATGAATCGAATACACATTAAACATATATATATATATATATACTAATCATTAATTATTATTATTATATTAAATTTTAACCATAAAAAATTCATATGAAATAAGACATGGGGGTTTTCTAAAATCTTTTAATTTAAGAAGTTATAAAAAGATCCCCTTCGAGACGTAACCTAAATTCAATAATCATGGAAAAATATTAAAATGTATATATTTTATTAATTTATTTAAAATATACGATTTGGGTCAAAATTTTGACTTGCATGATTTCTGAAGAGATGCAGTGCTTTCGGGAGTCTGTAATCATGGCTATTGGCTAAGGTAAAATAGCATCCAGATAGGATGGATGGTTAAATCTATGAACTTGTACCCTTTTCATTACAACTTGTACATTCACTATATCATGTTAAAAAGCAAATCAACTAGGAATTTTTGCATTGATGGCTTGTACCTTTTGCAACAAAAGTTGTGCATGGAGTAAATTATGTGTAATTTTTCACCAATATGAGTTGGATTAAAATCCTACTTTGCTCTAATTTGGTTTTGTAATCATATATAATAAAAAATCTAAGTTAAAATGGAAATAGATCGATCATTTAAAGATATATTTCTATCGAAAACATTGGGTCGGAACTTACCGACAAGGAATTTCGATTTACAATCTTTTAAACTATATGATTTTAGAAAATTTAGACAGTTTACAGATCGCTACAGTTTGTTTAAACCTATGATTTCTTAAACTTTTGATTTCGTTTAACTTACCTATAGTTACGTTTTTTTTAATCGAAACTCGGTAATTCGTACRCTGATTTTCATGTGTTGTTTGATATATGAAACAACACATGTAAAAAGTTCACTATTTCTATTGTGTTGTTTCATAGATGAAACTTTCATGGTGGTTTTAGTTCATACACAAAACAATTTTGAATGTTTCACATATGAAAAATATTGTTTAAACATTACATTTTCATGCATGTTGTTAGGCTATGTTTGGCAAACCAACTGATAAAGCTAGTTGGTAGCAGAGAAGTTACTGATAACTAGCAGATGACTGTTAAGCTAGTTGATAAACAAATTATGTATGACAACAAACAACTTATAAAGGTGTAAAAAGATCAAAAGGGGCAACTTGAAAAATTAACCAATTACAATGTTTCATAAAACAAATSTCTAAAAATATAGTACAATAGTTAATACCAAAAAAATGATAAAAATAAATGATCTAATATGTTACTAAGAAAATTTCAAATTGATTATTATAAAATTTGGATAAGCTCCTAAAACATTATTCCAAGTAACAACATCAAACTAAAATAAAAGAAATTGAGTACTTGCACGCATTATATAGTTGAAAACAAACAGAC